GCTGCTTTGTCTTATTTCTTTGTATTAGTTTCCACTATTTCTGTGCTTTAAAAGCCAGTAAGATGTAGTTACTGTCATTCATGATGCATGGGGAAGGGTTAACTTTAGGCAGTGATTCTAAAACTACATAGCAGGAAATTGAAAATATTTTCTTTCTTTGCATAAGAGTTAAAGTGATCTGTTCAATTATATTGCTTGGGATTTGGGGTTTTGTTTTCAGTCCTTCTCTCTGATCTTATTCCTCTGTAAGCTACGGTACTTATTTCTCTTTCTTCAATATCTATGGAAAAATGAATTTGTTCAAAAGGAGAGAGCCCAATACTACTTAGCTGGATGTATGTGAAATGAGTAGTTTGGCATAGGGTGAGTAGAGTGCTCAGGTTAACTCCCTATTAACAGTTCCACCCAGGGCTGGTGTTCAGGGGTGAAATCTGGGCTCCAGCCTGAAGGTGTGAAGTTATCTGAAGTTTAGAATTCATTGACTTAAGTTCTAAGGGGGCACTTAAGTTCTCTGTGGAACTTAAGTTCTCTATGGAAGAGATTCTTACAGTTAAATAAGGGAATAGTGTTTGCAGCTGCTGGATCAAATTTCAGCAAATACAGACAAGAAAATGCAATTAAGAAAGCTTACAAATGCTGTAAATCAATATTTTAATCTTTGAGAGAAGTGCCTGCTTCTGTTAGGACTGTTTGAAAGTATTATGTGTTTTGTTGTTATCAAACAATATGTAGTGGATGAATGATGTTCGTGGAACTGATACAAATAATCATGCACTGTAGATTTGCAACACTGTAATGTAGGATCATTCCTATTAAGTCTGTCATCTGTGGACTTACAGTGCTATGACTTGTAATTTAAATGACTGGGTTTTTTTAAAAAATTGTGTATGTAAGTATGTGTGATAATACATAATGCGTATACTCTGCTGAATAAAGTCCAGTTAAATTTAGCTAGGCTTGTTTAGATGTATACTTTGTCATTAATCAAAATAAGTCATATTCTAGCAGTCATTTTTATTTCTGCTAATTATTTCTTAGTATTATGTTCATGAGCAATATTTACTTTTAAAGCAGAAGCTGAGGCGAAATGTGAATTTACTTGAGAAGCTGGTTATGCAGGAGACGTTGTCATGTCTGGTAGTGAACCTCTATCCAGGAAATGAGGGTTATTCACTTATGCTCAGGGGAAAAAATGGTTCAGGTAATATTTTTGCTCTTCTATTTTTAAAAGTGCTCAGAATGCTCTGTCAATAGAACATGTTGTTGCTTATATTTAGTGTTTCACTTCTAATGTAACTCTAGCTGGGGGGAAAAAGAACCTTGAACTAAAGTTGTACTTGAAAGTACTTGAAGTAAAAATTTACATAAAGCTGTGAGGTGCAGCATAAATCGGTAGATATGAGTCTGATAGCCTTCCATTCTTTTACTTCCCTGTAGTTCCTGGAGTTGCATATCCAAGTTTCTCTCACTTCAGGTTCCTTCTGTCAAATTCTTTCACTGCTTCCTATTGTCTAGGTCTGTCTAAAGGCATTTGTTTGTGTTCCACTTCAGTTGCAGTTTCATGCCATTGGTACTGTGACGTGCAGTAGGAACATACAGTGTGCCATCTGGGAGTAAAACTTCTGTCCCATTAGCACAGTAAGAGCAAAGTAAAGCTCTGGGGACAGAAATGGATGTAAAAAATTAATACTGTACAAAAACATTTGTCTATTTGGATAGGTTTCTGCCAACCCTGCTTTTTCTTGTGGCAAGTTTGGCTTAGATTTCTTATTGTTAAAGTCTGAACTTGAAAGGCAACAGAAAAGTAATATGTTTTGTTTAAATTCAGATTCCGAGACCATTCGTCTGCCTTATGAGGAAGGAGAGCTGCTTGAATATTTGGATGCAGAGGAACTGCCACCTATTTTGGTTGATCTTTTGGAAAAATCTCAGGTTTAAAAGTTTTGTTTTCAAAAAGAACTTAAGTTTTATATCCAGATAGACCTTGACTTTTTTTTTAATGCTGATTCTAATCAAGGCATAAAACACTTGTACATTTGCAACTGTAATGCCCCAAATAAATGTTTTATTGATACATAGAAAAAAAATTAAATGGGGAGTAAGGGATAGAAGAGAGATGGCTGTGGTTAAGGCTGTGAAACAACTTCAGCTCTGTGCTCTAGCAAAATGTCCTTTGTTCTTTTGTCATTAAGAAATATTTGGGATGGGAATTTCTTGAAACCACATTGCTGCCACATGAAAACACTGCATTTGAAGCTTGTATTTTCAATAAGTCTAGGTGTGTGGTGTTGACCACTGGCCTGAAAAGCACAGGGATTAGTTTTATTCATAGTTGCACTGACCTTTATAAGGTATATAGCGAACTTCCTTTTAGAAATGGGGCAGATTGGTAAATATTGGTTTATTTCAAAGTTTTTTTTTCTTTCAACTAGGTTAATATTTTTCATTGTGGATGTGTCATAGCAGAAATACGTGACTACAGACAGTCTGGTAACATGAAATCTCCAACCTACCAAAGCAAGCACATTCTTTTGCGTCCAACAATGCAGGTAAGCAGTGATTAAACTCACTTCTCAGTGTTACCATAGTTCCTAGACTGAATATGAACTATTACTGAACATATATTAAGAAATCTTATTATTCAGTTGAAATGTAATTACAATTATGTCTTTTCCCTCAGACTTTAATTTGTGATGTGCATTCTATAACAAGTGACAACCACAAATGGACACAGGTGCGTTAGAGGTTATTTTAAAACTTTACAGTGATGTCATAATGCACAAGAAAATAAATTTTTGTTTGTTTAATAAAATCTGATAAACAGAACTTAGTCTGGTTTTATTGATTCAAGCTGTCAGTGTGTGTGTAGTGGTGCATGGTACATGCTTCACAGAGCTGCCAAATACTTGTTAATAGCATCTTTCCACAAGATGTCATAGAATACAATAGAATTTGCTGAAGGTTTTGTAGAATCAGACCTTAATTTTTGGTAATGCAGAAATGGCAGCAGCATCGGAGTTACTCTTACTAGTTTATCCTATTTCATTCATATTCAATGAGTGGCCCCAGAACAGCATTGGGAATCTAGTGACAATTGCTCCTTCAGCTTCATTTTACTGTTGATACTGTTGAGGAAAGAGAATCTGAAGTAACTGTGGTTGCACAGTTAGAGTCATGCTCAGTCATGCTCAAATTTCTTTCAAATTGTAATCTAAAATCCCAGGGAGATAGCTCCTCTTCATGGCACTGATTGCCAGTACACCAGTATAAACCACTGACAAAATGGATTTCATTGACACTAGTACTGTGTTTAAAGCAAGCAAGCATAGAAAACATGCACAAAAAAAACAAAACATGACCTCTACTTTTCAGGTAATTTATTGGAAACTCTGCCCAAGCTCTGCAACTGATAAAAATGGTTAGAGATACTTAACTGTTGAATAGTTTCTTTGGCTGACTATCCACACATAGTTTTTTCAGCTTTCTTTAAGATAATATCCACATGAATAGGTATATAGCGACTCAATTAGTGTAAAAGTTTACATATTTTTACATTTATTAATAGCTGTGTATATTACAGGAGGACAAACTCCTACTTGAGAGCCAACTCATTTTGGCTACAGCAGAGCCTTTGTGTCTTGACCCTTCAATAGCAGTGACCTGCACTACAAACAGACTCCTGTACAACAAGCAGAAGATGAACACTCGCCCCATGAAACGGTAGGTTTTCAAACAAAAATATTAGTAATGTCTTACATGGAAATTTAGTTTCTCATGTGTAATATCTACTTAAATATTAGAAATGTGAGGAACAGTCAAGAAATTACATCTTATTTTTAAATGCTTGATATTGTCCTGTATGTCAGTTAGTGGTAGATACTGTAGTATGATTATTTTTGTATGTCAAAGAATATGTATATGAATTTTAGCATAATGTTATATTACACTGTGGATTTTGTCTTTTTTATTTTTGGCATAATTTAGGTGTAAGCAGAGTCAGATGGCAGCTCAGTAATGTAAAATCTATAAATGGATATGTTGCATATTGGTCTGTGATTTGTTAAAAACTATATATAAGGTTAATCCTGAATGAGGACATCAAAGGAATTGTATGTTTTTATGTTCAGGCTAAACAGAAGTGTATGCATATTAGAATCTTGGAAAAATTTTAAGTAATGGGGAATGCACTATATGCAAAAGTTGAAATTGTTTCACTTTTGTGCATCGTTTGCCTTTTTCTACAAAAGCTTGAAATGGTTCCTATTTGTTCTGCTAAAGAGCTGCTTTCACTCTATAGAAGGGAAAAGTTCTAATGGTCTGTCAGAATTACTGAAACATTTAAAACTAGATTTACAATTAAATACTATGCTAGTGCAAAATTAGTGGCAATGTCTAAAAAAGTATAAACAGTGAAACTGATCAAGCTGTCCTTGAGATTATAGCTTGGTGGTCAGCAAATATTCCACTAGAAAACTAGGCAAAGGTTTTACATGAATGTCTAGAACAGCATTTCTGTACCAATGGGTTTGTCATGAAACAAAGAATGGAAGATAGTTACTGTGTTTATAACCTTATAGTTACAAAACCAGTACAAAGATCTTTTGGTGAAACGGAAATCTGTGATAATATACAAATATTTTTAAGCTTGGCAACTTACTAGTTATTAATTTTGACTGTGCTTCAATTATGCATTTCAAAAATAACCCAATTCTTCATGCTGAAACACATGAACAGAATATTAGTATTTTTTAAAAATCCAGAGTCAAGAGTTAGAGCTGTACACTGTAATCCAGAAAAGCAATTTTAAATTGGTGTTTAAAAATCTGCCTGTTAGTCTCAATATAAGTAGCAGTTCATGTTTGTACACATGCAGTGGAGAATTTAATTTTTATGATTTTGCAAACTTACCTGTCATTTTGCCTTAGGTGCTTCAAAAGGTACACAAGATCCTCTCTGAACAGACAGCAGGAAGTAGCTCACTATTCAACTCCACCTCAGCTCAGACTACTTGACTACTTACAGAAAAGAAAGGAGAGGAAAGCAGCCCAGCAGTATGACCTCAAAATTTCTAAAGCTGGAAATGTAAGTGTTCTGAGAGGTAATTGTATATACTCCTGACTATTTATTCTGAATATTTAATACATGAATCTTGATTTTCATCTTCCAGTGCGTAGATATGTGGAAACAGAACCCTTGCTACTTGACTGCACCTTCTGAAGTGGATGTAAGTGCTTACCATTAACAATTATCAGCAGTTGTATTGAACATTCATTATATGAAGAAGTGACTGAAGAATATCCAGTATCAAAGAATGACCTTTAAAAACAGGAGTGACTTTAATGCTTACAATTATTTTTCTGTACTGTAAGGTATAAACACAAGTTAAACTACATGGTAATACATTGCAGCCGTAACCTTAAGTAATGTTCTTCTGTGGGTTTGATGAGCACGTCTATTTGAAGTTGTCTGATAATATGAAAACCAGCAAAACAAATGAGGTTTGTAAATTATTTTAAAATGAGTGATTTCTCATCTTGGTAGAGATTCCTTTCTCTTGGTCTGTTACGATATCATGGGCCATTAATATTTTGAACATTTTTAATTTTTACACAGAGTTCTAGTTGGGAGTTCTTCTGATCGGTCTGTGTGAATTCTTCTCTCGGGGCATTCATGTTCTTGGTTTCTGGCATTGCCAAAACACATACTACTAGTGTACAGAAGAGACTCAGAGAATCATTAGGGTATCTTGAGTTGGAAGGGACCTACAAGGATCATCAAGTCCAGCTCCTGGTCCTGCAGAACAGGACAACCCCAGATATCACCCCATGTGTCTTGTCCATATGCTTTTTGAACTCTGTCAGGCTTGGTGCTGTGAACACATCTCTGGGGAGCTGTTTCAGTGCCCAACCACCCTCTGGATAAAGAACCTTTTCCTAATATCTAACCTAAACCTCCTCTGACACAAGTTCAGGATGTTCCCTCAGGTCCTGTCACTGGTTGCCAGAGAGGAGAGATCAGTGCCTGCCCTTCCTCTTCCCCTTGTGAGGAAGCTGTAGATTGCTGTAAGGTGTCCCCTCAGTCTTTTCTCCTCCAGGCTGAACAGACCAAGTGACCTCAGCCACTCCTTGTATGACTTCCACTCTAGGTCCTCTACCATCTTTGTTGCCCTCCTTTGCACACTCTCTAATAGCTTAATATCTTTCTTACATTGTGGCACCCAAAACTGCCACAGGACTTGAGATGAGGCTGCACCAGAGCAGAGCAGAGCAGGACAATCACGTCTTTGAACTTGCTGGCAGTGCTGTGCCTGATGCTCCCCAGGACATGGTTGTCCCTCCTGGCTACCAGAGCACACTGCTGACTCAGTCAGTTTGATGTCGACCAGGACCCTCAGGTCCCTTTCAGCAAGTCTTCTCTAATCTACTGAGTCTCCTGCAAGACTCTGTAGGTTAGACAAGTCTGTAGCTTTAGTCATCATAGAGCTAACAAGAATGTGCATTGCATATGAAATGATGGTCTAAGTTTGTACAAAACAAACCTTTCTTCAAATGTGTTGTACCTGGCCTAATCAGAGTCTTTAGGAGTTACTGGTGCTGTGAAATTTCTTAACCATTCCACATTGCAGGCAATGATTTCAATCTAATCTTAAGCCATGTTTCACTCTTTTGTTAAATTTAGCACAGCAAATATGGAGTAATAGGATAAATGTAAAGTTCTGAAGGTTCTCCAGTTTAATTTTTCTGAATGCATTGCACAATGGATTCTTTCTTTCCTGAGCTCTCAATTTTTTTTAAGGTGGAGAAATACGCCAAAGTGGAAAAGTCTATCAAGCCTGATGACTCACAACCAACAGTCTGGCCAGCACATGTGAGTAGCTTAGACCTTTGGCCAAACTTCACTGTCTAGTTAAAATGCCTCTTATTTCAACAATATCAAAGTAATGTGGGAATAATCTTCCCTACCTCATTTTAATTAATATTCCATGTGTTTTATAGACAGAGGAGGATTACCAGAGATACTTGTAACTTTATACAGTAGTGCAAGCATGTGATTGGTCTTGTAATTTCCTCAGATTTTGCAGAAATACAAGGAAAATCAGCTTGCATCTCCCAAGTATCATGTGCTATTGCTGTGTAGTAAAGAAAGCATAATAATTTACAGGGAGAGGGCTCTGCACAGCAAATTGCTTTCAGTACTCAGACAGTCAAAGGCTGATGGAAAAGAGCCTCTGTTAAAATCAAAATGCTAAATTTGGGAAGAGGTTAATATTAAATGCCTCTTAGAAAAAGCTCTTTCTGTAGTGTTTAAGTTGAACCTTAAGATTCTTGCATAACTTATGTGATAAGAAGCAGTAATTTAATATAATCAGCCATAAATAATTGATTAATTCTTTATAATTTCAGAGGCAAGATACTATCTTTATTAACAGCATATATCATGATGTCTTTGTATTGTCATATTTGAAAAAAGTAATACTTTACTATAGAACTTAATCTTCAGCTCCATAGTTATACTCTGTACATTTTTTGCATTGTCATAATTTGTATAAAACTGTTTCTAGATATCTTTGCCCAGTCTGCCTTTGCATGTCTAACATGACTGTTTAGGGTTGGCAGTATTTTTATATTTTTAAGAGATGATAAACTCATTTTCCTCTCATCACTTTACATAACTTGTTATAGATAATGTGCCCCTTCCTATAGTGTGTTTCTTCCTGTATTGTATATAGAGCTGGTCAGTTTTACTCACTGTTTCTGCTAATACTTGTTCAAGACTTACTTGGTTATTTTCTTCTTCTTAGGAAATAAAAGATGATTATGTGTTTGAATGTGAAGTTGGTAATCAGCTTCAGAAAACAAAACTGACCATTTTTCAGTCTCTTGGCAATCCCTTGTACTATGGTAAAATTCAAACACTCAAAGGTGATGAGGAAAATGACAACCTATTAACTCCATCACAGTAAGTTAGATGTTCTTTTTACGCTGTGCTGTGATCCGATAGGTGAAGAAGACAAACATTACTTACCATTTTCAATCATGAAATTACTCCAGGGATGGGAATCTGATTTAAGAGTTTTTAACAAAACTAAAATGTGTTCAAGCAACCATCATACCCTCAATGTAATTTTATTTTAAATTTGCATGTTCTTTTACATTAAAGATATTAGGGGAAAGAAAACCCCAAAACGACCAACAAACCCAGTCCGTGTCCCACGAGACATTGCTTGCACTCTTTTTCAGTGTTAATCAGAATTTTGATTGTAGCCTGATGCTGTGAAAATAAGGAATTTACTATATTCTATTTACCTTTGTGCAGAAAAATGTAAGCTAAAGAAATGATGAAGAAAACCATGAACTTCTAAGAAGCTTCATAATTTTGAATTGTTTTGAATATGCTATTGTTGGCTGTGGTTCTACAAAGATTCTCTATTCTTGCTTCTTTTTTTTTGTTCTTATATGTACCAGATTATTTATATGGAGGAACCTGTGCAGCAGAGTAGACTGTATGAATTTCAGCGAGGCAAAGAACAGGAACAATTCTGTAGCAGTTCCTCACTTTCATTTTTTGGAAAGTATAAAATCCAGTACTTCCATATTCTGCCTTTTGATTTCTATGTAATTTACTCTTAAAGGAGAACATATCAGACCATGTGTGTATATTGTATACATAGTTATGAAGTCAAGTATGTATTTCAAGTGCTGAATTATACAAAGTCCATTAACTGGATACCTTACTGCTTGTATTTTAAGCAGGTCTGAAAAAAAGGCAACTGTGACATTTGTTTGAAGTTTTCTGATTATAAAAAGATGTTCTTTTACCAGTTCACAACTGAAAATATGTTATACATTTTACATTTCAGGTTCCTTATTGGTTCGAAGACTGATGCTGAAAGGTAAATCAGTTTAGTATATACACCAGTTTAGCTTGATGCCAAATAATGTGTTTTGTTCCTTTTAGCCCTTAGACCTGCAATTGCGTCTGGGAAGTGAACAGTTGTGGCTACTGTTTTCCATATTCCTCCTGTTTCTTCCACTGTATTTTGTATTAGAATAAAAAAGGCAGTGATTAAAAGTAAAAATGGAATAAATCTAAGAGCCCAGGGACATCATTTAGAAAGATACATAGAGATGTCAATGTTTTATATATGTGAATCTCTTTTTATATAAAAATATGCTTATATAATATATACTTATGTATAAGATATATAATGACTATAACATATCCAATCATGTGTATCTAGATATGTATCTGCTTCAGAAATTCAAAGTTGTTAATCATTTTATGTCCTTATTGTTCATTTCAGGGTGGTGAACCAGTATCAGGAGTTAGTACAAAATGAAGCTAAATGTCCTGTGAAAATGTTTCATAATTCAGGTGGATCAGTCAATCTTAGTCATCTTTCTCCAGGGAAGGAAATGGAAGTGAGTTTATTGAGCCACACATTTCTTTTATTTGCTCTTGATGATTGAATTATTAGAGTAATTTTTGCTATCCACATTTAAAAGTAAAGTAACTTAAAAAGTCATTCTGAATGAATTTTTAAACGCGTTATGGTCATGATCATTCAGTGTGAGTGTATTGGAAAAGTTGGGGGAAAGCACTTCACTGTTCAAATGTTGTCTTTCAGCCATTTTGGGGTTTTTTGGCTGTGTCTAGTGTGGTTAGCTCCAAGGTTTTGTTGTAGCATTTTCCTCTGTTTAGATGAACCTTTCACAAAGCAGTATAGTAGAATGCAACTGTGTGTTTTATTTTGCAGGTCAGTAAACAGAAGCAGATAGAGTAGCTGAACTTTTTATCTTTAGAAATTAAAATTATTTTCTCTTTACTTTGAAGACTAAATCTAAAACAAAAAAAAAATAACCACCAACACAAGAAAACCCTCAAAACCCCAGCAGCTTTAAAGTGTGTATGTTTGCACACACACACATTGCTACATTTCCAAGAAAAGTTCTTGCATTCCCAAATTTTCCTGCCTGCTGGTATGGCTTTGTGTTTTACTTGCTGCTTCTGGCTTTTTTGTTCAGATTCAGTACTCTAGCAGTGATCTGTGTTTAGGCCCCAACTAGTAAATGAGATTTCTGTCTATTAGGCTATTTCCTTTGCAACATCTCTCCCCTAAATACCTACTTTTTAAACTCCAACAGCATTGCTCTGGAAGGGGTAGTTCCTTGTGTCAGCCAGACCAGCAGCATTCCAAGGCCAGCAGTTGCAGAAAGGGATATGAATGTTTCTGTATATGTGCATACACATACAGGCATATTCCTGTGTGTGTATATATACATTAAAATCATATTGATAACTTGTGGTGGGAGTGTACTTCTGGAAGTCATCTCATCTGTCTGTCCAAGCCCCCTGCCAAAAGCTGGACCAAAGTTACTCAGGTTACTGTCTTTAATGATCCATTCTTCTTTGGAATGAGGTGTTGGTCTTTATTTTCAAAATCAAGCAAGCAGATTTTAATAGTAGAAGAGAAAGGTAGTCCTCAGAATTTAACTCAAAAGATTCTTTTTTTTTATAAGCAATCAATTAGAAACATGTAGAGGAAGTGTCTGTTATTACCGAGAAGCAGTGGAAGCTAAGCTCACAAAAAAGGTTGATCATGCACAATTCTATTCACTATATTGACAGTCTCATTTGCTAGTTTCAGCAGTTTGTGGTCTGTGTGTTTAGACATTACCTTCATTTATGGCATACATGCTTGATGGGTAAAAAAAAATACAGACTATAACTGTAAATGTGTTTCACTGTCAAGTCTTCTGACAGTGTCAGCTATAGGAATTACGGATTTAGAGTCTGTTAGGAGTGACTGAGAACTGCAGATTGGAGTAGCTGAAGTAATTTATGTCCAGGCAACCTCTTAAGTAGGTTGTAAGAACAACCAAAAAGGTAGCACCTTTCCTCTAAAAACATTAATGATTTCTGATCCCACTGAGGTTGATGGGGAAATGTGTCTCAATTTCTGTGCATTCAGGATTTTCCTGAATGTATTTAAAATTCTACTCCCAGAATCAGGAATTCTGATCCTGTTCTTTAAATCTGTCTTGGCTGGAAATGGCAGTTCAGTACAGAGTGAATTAATGAAATGGTGTAATTTTTCAAGTAAAACCAAAATGTTCTTTTATTTCAAATGCATTTATCACACTTGCGTTTTGTGAAAATTGCTAAGAAGGATTTCAGAATTAGGGAGAAAAAGTGAAACTCCCTTAATTATTTTGATATTTTTGCTCAGTTTGAATTTTTACCAACATCTTCATGCTGCTTCTTTATGGTAAGCATTTTATCTAAAGAGACTTGATCATAGGTTATGGTTTTAAAATAAATAAATGAAAATCTGAAGTGTGTGAAAGGCATTTTTTCATGGTTTTGAAAAATCTTAATATAAATTAATTGAATTGTCTTTTCTGTCAACTCTGTAGAAGCTCACATCATTGCTGTGGTAGTGTTAATTTCTCTTTCCTCCCAGCAGCCAGAAAGTGTATCAGGCTCTGTTCAGTCTTCGGTGTTGGGGAAGGGTGTAAAACACCGACCTCCTCCCATCAAATTACCGTCAAGTTCAGGAAGTAGCTCTTCAGGTAATTATGTATTGACTTGAGCGTCTCCTTTTTATGTGTTCTACCTCTTGTAAAATGACAGGACATCCCTTTAGTAAAGATTTAATGAAAAAATCCAATATCTTATCTATGAGAAAAGCATTTTTTTTAAATTTCTGCTTATATTGTTCACAAACTTGTATCCTAACAAATACTCGAGTTAACATGTACTCATAGAACAATAATGTATTTTAATTATGCTTTTTCAGGTAATATTTTTAGTTCACAACAGTCAAGTGGCCATCTAAAATCCCCAACTCCTCCTCCTCCTTCTAAGCCTTCTGGTCTTTCTCGGAAACAATCTATGGATCTTAATCAAGTTAGCATGCTCTCTCCAGCTGCCATGTCTCCTGCGAGCTCTTCACAAAGTGAGTCACGACCTAAATTCTCCATTAAATCTTAGGCTTTTGCATAAATGCTTCCTGAGATAAACTTCTTAACCTGTGGAGTGGCGAAACTTAAGTGTACAGCATACCCTAAATTGTATAAGTTGTGCAGCTTTAGGCAGGTCTCTTGTTCACTGTATGTATTTTATGTTTATTGTAACTGTGTTCGTTTTCTGTACATATATATGTATGCACCCTCTGTGTATACGTTTTAATACATTTTATGCAATTAGCATGATCTCCTCATTTATGAAAGGCTGGTAGATGATGTGATGAGATGAAATTCCAAAGTGTAGATTTTTTTCCTGGAGTGTAAAAACAGTATGTTAGATCAGTTTGCCTTTACATAATTTAAGCATTTTTTAAATGTTATAGGAGCTGGTGCAGTTGTGTATCTATGTATGTATATAATCTGATCAGTCCCGAGGTGATGATACAATAAACGATAAGATGATTTTTTAAAAACACTCCTACACTGTTTTACAAATCATTGCTGATTGCAAGTGTGGTGGTGATGCTGCTGCTGCTAGCACCATATTCTCAGGTGTGTTAAAAGGTAAATTTCAGTAAGAAGTGACGTCCGATATTTTCATTAACACTGACAGGATCATTGTAATCATAGCTACAGATCACAAACAAATATGTGTGTATCTTGAGCCATTTCGTCAACAGATCTGTACAAAGAGGAAACAGTAGCTGCAGTTTCTCAGTTTTCTTATGAATAATTGTATACTGCACATTCCAATATCCTTCACAGTATTATAATATGCTTTTTGCATTAAATAATTTAAAATCCGAGTAGATCAAAAGGTCTAACTTTTCTGCCTTCTTGTTTTACACAAAGATAAAAGAAAACTTAGAAAAGTTTTCTTCTAACATATTGACTCTGGTTTTATGTTAGTGCTATGAATTGTGTGAATCTGCTGCACACAGTTGTTACTTTAAGGCTTTGGTCACAACATTCACATTTATTTCCTTTCTCTCTGCAGGACATGAAAGCTAAAAAAAAGAAAAACAAAAAAACACCTCGAGTTTTTTGGGGGGTTTTGTTTTGTTTTTCTATGGATAAGCTTTGCCTACTGCATCCACAACAAATACAGCTGTACATGCTACATTTATGCAGAAGGAATTACACAGTAGCTTTTAAAGATGCAGTATTATCCTCTGGTTCTTAAATATTTTAAAATTGCTTTTTATTTGATCAAAATTTGACAACTGTCATTTCAGCTATCTGATGAACTTCAGATCAGCCCCATGACTATTGAAATAGTACATGTTCTTTCTTTGTTGACTTTCTTGTTTTCCATGATAGGTTTTTAACACAATGCCATTGTGCAGGCAGTGCATATATACTGTTTGTTTAACAGTTTAGGGCAAAAACATTAATTAGGTTAAAACAGTCACTAAGAAATTGGTTTAAGTATTCCTGAATGGAGTTGCGACTTACTGTACAATAAACTACGGAAGCATAACGGAGGATACAAATTGGCGTACGGCCTAAGGAATTGAGCATGGAGAATGGGCTTTGTGTGATTATACTGCATCCTTAACAATGAGTGTGTGCTGCAGCACTCGTGTCGGGTAGAAATTAACACTTGCAGTCTGAAAAACGGAGCAAAATGTCAGTGCTAAGTAAGATTCCATTAACCTTATTATACGAGAAGGACTGGCCTTTTATAACAAACTAGCACTTTTTATTTTTCTCAATGAGCAGGGTCTGGAACTCCTAAACCATCTACTCCTACTCCAACCAACACCCCTTCATCGACCCCACACCCTCCTGATGCTCAGAGCTCAACTCCTATTACCCCTTCTGCCACCCCTACTCCCCAAGATTCAGGCTTCACCCCTCAGCCCACTTTGTTAACCCCATTTGCTCAGCAGCAAATGTCTCTGAGCCAGGCACTGCCTGTAATGACCATTCCTCTTTCCACCATGGTAACATCCATTACTACAGGAACAACCTCCACCCAGGTCATGGCAAACCCTGCAGGACTTAACTTCATCAATGTAGTGGGCTCTGTGTGGTAAGTTTTTTGTTATGATGGTTTCTTAAATTGCCATGGGTGGGTTGGTTGGTGGGATGGGTGGGAAAGGTACAGGACTGTCCACCATCCATTAGGGTAGATTTTTTCAGGATCACTCACTTTTTAATTATAAAGTGAAGAGCCACTAGAAACTATTTGTATTTCTCAAATACAAGGCACCTACTATTGGAATATTGAAGAGGTCTATTAAGAAAGACCTTAATTGCTTTCAGCTTTCTGGGAGGCATAGGGCTTAATTTCTTAAGGCTTAATCTCAATTGAAGTGGTTTCTTTAAGTCTGAACATTTGCTTTCATTAATCAGAGAGGAGGTGGAATATCATATGCAGACCAATCTAAATGAAAAATGGCGACATATTTGTTTCAATCATTTTAAACAAACATTGAGATTAAACACTTTCTGATCCTTAAAACTCATTTTGTAGTTTAAAGAAAGTAATAAATGCTGTCAGGAATAGGTTGTATGGTGTAACGTGAAGTGCATTTTAGACTAAATGAAATTCTGCACTTAAGATGGTCAGTGTGAGACAGTGTGCTTCAGTGCAAGTATCAGACACTTGAATTATACATCTAAGGTGTTCAGCAGTTGTTCACTGTTGATAAATTGGAGATTTCCATTTTGCAAATAAAACCCCCCCACAAACCTGTTCTTTTTTGTTATGATAGTACAACCATTTTGAAGACTGTTGATCTTTTAGTATTTCTGGAATAAAAGAACCACTTGTGATTTGTTTTTCTTGGTCAATACCAAAGAAGATGCATATGCTGAGAATATGGATTTACATATTTGTTGTGCTCTAAGCAAAACGATATTTTTAATCTGCATTGATGCTTTGTCCATAATCCATTTACAGCAAACAGTTGCCATGAGACAGAGTGCAAAAATTCAGTTACTCAGATTTACTTGTGCCACTTGGGTTTGATGTGTTGTCTTTCCTCTTCTACAGTGGAGCACAGTCACTGATGAGTGGTTCAAACCCCATGTTGGGGTGCAACACTGGTGCCATAGCCCCTGCAGGTATAAATCTGAGTGGCATTTTACCATCAGGAGGTCTGGTACCAAGTGCGCTGCCCGCTGCAATGCAGTCTGCCTCTCAAGCAGGTCAGTGTGACTCAGTTGAAAAGCCACGCTTCGGATAGGGACAGTGTGGAAACATTGTGAGAAAAATGGACACAAGTGGCCATTGTGTGAACAGTTTGTGTATTTGATGGCTGGAGCTCAGAAACAACATACATGTTTTTGCAGTCAAAGTGTAGGCTATGTTGGTGATTGATGGAAGTTGGTTTTTGACAAAGTAGACTGGGAGTACATGCTCTAAACCTGGATTGTTTGGTATGCTCAGTAGGAAGTTTGAGGAAAAACTCCAAATTCAAATGCAACTTTGATTATGATGACTGCCAGAAAAAAGGCATGACTGAACTTAGAAACAGCCCTCACTTTTTAAATGTGTGGGGCATTTCATTCTGCCACTGGTACTACTTAATTCTTGTAGAACAGTTAAGTAGTTCCTTATTGCCTTCAAATGCTGCTATATAAATCTTAAAAGCATGGTTTTTCTGAACATGTAAACCTAATGTATGATTATAGAATGAGAATGATAAAAGACTTCAAGATATCCATCCCTTATGCTAAGACAGTCAAATCTGTCTAAACCATACTGAACCAATGTTTATCTAAACTGTCTTTAAATACCTTCACGGAAGAAGATTGTAGTCTTCCTGGGTAGCTGTTTAGAGAGTGGTTCATTGTCTGTGCAAAATGTTTCCTTCTAATTACAGTGCATCTCCTTAATTGCGAATTATTTTTTCTCCTATACCTTTCTGACATGAAAAATGGTCGTTCACCCTTTCTCTTTACCTTCTGAGTATGACATGCTGTCATGTCCCACATTTGTCTTCTCTTTCTGATAGGTCGTATTTTTCAAACCTTTCGTAATCCTGTCACTCTCTTTCTAGACTGTCCAATTTGCTTACATCCTTCTTAAAATGTGATAACCAAAACTGGACACAAGCCTGAGCTTGGCTGATTTACCACTGTGGAGCACAGCAGAATAAATGCATCTCATCTCTTTCACAACATTCCTGTTAACATTTCCCCAAATGAGGTCTGCCTATTTTTTATCTGTACTTTTTTGCAACAGCATTACATGAACATAAGAATGACTTTACTGGTTTAGGCCAAAAATCCATTCAGTTAATACTCTGACAGTTGCCATTAGAGGATACTGAGGAGAGAGTTTAAGATGAGGCAAAAGTGTGAAGTGAAACGTCCCTTGTGTACAACTGTACCTCTTCTGGCAATGTACAGCTTTGAGACTTTCTCAGCTGAAGAATATCCACATGGATCTTTGTGCTTAATTTCCCATGCTAGACATCTAGTCTGTGGATTTATCTAATTGGTTTTTGAACCCATTTATATTTTTGGAATCTACAGCATCTTGTGACAGTGAATTTTATAAATGTAAACTGTGTGAAGAGGTTCTTTTCTTTTGTGTGCTCTGTAGTTTGTGATGTGGATGATTTGGATATGTTTGTGACTTACTGTATCTTCTCATGTCCTTTCTTGCTGTATAGGCACAAAACTAGTTACAGTTTTGTACTTGTTCATTTGTCTTTTTTTAAGTCAGTGTTACTGAATTTTGGACCCTTTCTTCAATTCGCTAGGATTGCTTTTAGTCTAATTCTGCCCTTTCAAGCACTATCAACCTTTACTGGTTTGGTGTCACAGATTTTTACATGCTGTGCTGTCACCCACACAACAGATGGGAGCAGTGAGCTGAGCTGGGTCTGTGCAAGCCTTCCAGGGGTTCTGTTTGACAGCTGCTGTCTTACTGCAGTGTGGCTCAGATTTTGGGTGGGATTGTTTACTGTTAAAGATTGATAAACTGAGAGTGTGTTACTTCACTGTGCCCTTGGACTTTTTTGGATTTACTGTACAAACGGTAAAATTGTTTAAAGGCAGAAGAATCACTGAAGAATAACTGCTCTAGTGTTCTCCACTTTCACCTTTGTGTAAATGCATTAACAGGTAACAGGGTACATTGTTTAGTAGCAATACAGATTTCTTTATTCAGCTCTCTTGCACTTTGAGTCTGAGTAACTATGAACTTATCAACATTATGGAAAATGCAGCATTGTATTAAGTATAAAATTTACACGAGCCAGTTTTCCATCTTCCAAATGTTTAGAAATAGTCCCAGTCGAAAGGTGTATTGCAATACACAGATATAACTGAGTAAAGACTCCCTACTAATAAAAAGATGTTTCCTTTAACAGGCAGCCCCTTTGGTTTGAAAAATACATCAAATCTTCGGCCCTTAAATCTTCTACAGGTAATTCATATACTTGGACACAATAATAATGATAATTTCTTACCTTTCTTTAGAGACCTGTTTAGTGCTGCTTACTGCACTGCCCCACACAGATCTTTAGAGCCAGCTGGTCAGAACATTTACTGCAAATTTTAATTGCTTATTTAGAGTGCTTAGAATAAGAGAAAAAGCTACTTCCATAGAGATAGCAGGTGGAAATTATATTCCTAGCACAGAGAAAAGCAGCTGTTTCTCAGTAACAAGCTAAAAATGCTGACATTTGAATTCAAAAGATTAATCCCAAAATACAACCTCATTTTCAGGATTTGCCTAAGCTGTTATTGCAAATCATTCTTTATGGTGAAGTTATGATTACACTGTACAAAGCATTACAGTAGAATCACTCAGGTGTTGCACACAATGTCTAAAAGCCAAGCTCAGCATGTACAGGTAGGTGCAGTTAATAGGCTTAAAGAGTCTCTGGTAATGGAAATAGAAGTTCCTGTAAATGGGGAGTTTAGGAGGTCTGTAAATGCTTTCTTTCCACTAAGCATACAAACAAGTATAAATGTGAGCAGTAGTTGTTTGTTATGTCAGAGTTCTATTTAATAGCAGAATGAGGACTGTTTGTGGAACTGGATGGAGTTCCTGGATCTTGAAGCCAGCATCCAGTCACGGGTGCAGAATTGCAGCTTCAGTGTTCCATGTGTGTTGCACCATGCTTTGAAAAAATAATGCCACTAAAAGAACAGATGTAGCTTTGCTAATTCCTCTTCCCATTCCTGTACACACTCCAGAAACATGGAAACGGGCAAGACACAGGAGGCAGTTATGGCAGAGTAGAGCTTTTCTATAGACTTAAATGCTTGAATTTGTGTGATTCCACATTGGAGTACATCCTTTCAAGCTACCTCTGCCACTCATAAACCAAGAATAATTTGGTTGAAATCAGTGCAATTAAAGTTGGGGTAAGGGAGAGGAATCAAGGCCTCTATCTATTATCTATCTATTAAAATTCAGTGGAATATTCTGAAAGTGGAAATCATATGCACTGGTTTTGAAGACTAGCATTTACATTGCCAGTATCAGTACAATACCTACCATTTTGATTAAGATAACTAAAATGTAATTTTGAATAGAAATACCTCACTATAATTTAATGCAGGTTTGTTTTCTGAGCAGGAGGCTTTTTCACAAATAGCACCAATTGTAAACTGATTGATAATGGCCAACTCCTTAGAGGTTTGGTTTTTGTTGTTTTTTAAATCCTTTAGAAATCAATGTTGTGTTCATCCTGGTACAGTGGGAAACTCAGCAGTTTGATTGAATTGTGCCTTTTGTTTTTAATCTTCAGCAGCTTCCAGGTGGTTCACTTATTTTTAACTCACTCCAGCAGCAGCTGTCAGTTTTCTCCACAGCAGCAATCTCAGCAGCCTACAACCTGTAGCCCTTAGCAACAGGGAGGACAGGTGTGTGCTAACAGCCCTGAGTCTGGGGTTCATGGATGAAACAGTTTTTCTCCTGTTCTCCACATCTCCACAAGTAAACGAGCCTTTACCCAACAGATCTGGAGCAGAGGGGGAGGAAGGTCTTGCTCTTAAACCTTCTCAAACAGCAAAGACTGCTGTGGCTCTGTTGCTATGGCTGGAGCTGGGTTTTACTCTTTAATTTATGTCCTGTATAGGAGAGCTGTAACAAAACAGCTGGCTGAGCACTGTCTGACTCCATCATGAAAAGAGCCAGCCCACTGTATGAGTGGTGTAAAATCAGCTTAGTGTTACAGTTATCATAACTAGCAGATACCTCAGATGAACAGAAAAGAAACAGGATTACTACAGATTAAAACTCTTTATGTACACTATTGTGAGTTGGTTTACAATCCTCGCTGCTGTAGTTCAACGGAATTTTCTTTGCACCAAAGATCATACCAGTTGGTTTTAAAGCCATAATCTTAGACATTTGTTCTACTGCTGCCTGTAGTTAATGCTAAATAAAGGTTTTAATCATTGAAGAATTCTAAAGTCTTGATAGAGACCAATCTGTTCTCAAAATGACAGGTTTTGAGTAGCTAGTTCTACCTGTACTTAAAAATCTTTCCCGAATTGCTGCATCAGTGTTGGTAAAACTAGCTGCTCTGCATTTGTGTTCATCTTCCCAGACATGCAAGACTTCTGTTTACCAAATAGTCTCTGCTGGATACTCAAGTTTGTCATAATAATTTCCCTTGTGCTACTGTAGACTGTTCATAAACAAGATGCTTCTTTCAAATGTTTTATGGTGTATAGTCTCCTGTGTCACAGGCCTTGTTCTGGAATGTAGGACAGTTTAATGGGAAACTTGTAGATTTGTTCAGAGCATCCAAATATCTGAATGTCAGTTACTAGTTCCATGCAAGCTCCTATTAATGGGTTTTATTTTCTAAACATTGAACATGTACAAAAAGGCTGATGTAAGCCTAGTCCTTCTTGTGGCAGAAAGTTCTTCTGGAGGAAAGCAACCTCTGCATTGGCTAAATTGCACTAAGGAACTTCTCTCATCCTGTGCTTTATAGAGCAAGACTAGGGTCATTGGCTAGAGTGAGCTATTCTGAATACCAGATTCCTTAGCTTTCCTAAGGACAAGACTGTGTGTGCTCACAGTGCTTAGTGGAAAAAAACTAAGCCCAAAAATACCCAACAATTTTCTGTGCTACCAAGCAGAATATATGCAGTCTCATCTCTGCTTAGGGGTTTTCCCCTACATGGTGGTTCTTTAACTCTCTAAGTCATCAAGGTGATGATGTCTTCTTAATGTGCAATCTTCTAGTCTGGTTTACCTAGATCTTGGTGGCTTTATTTCATATGGTTATGCTAAAGCAGAGTTGTAACTCCTGGAATGCACCAGCTCTTTTTTTTGACTGATAAGCCATGTAGTTTGCTTGATTCGCGTATATAATAAT